AAAGTGCCAATGAAAAAGTGTTATTCGTTTTTTGATATCTTTTCAAATAAAGTCAGAAAAAAATAAAATTGATATTGTCAAATTCTCGTTTTTCCCAAATATCTCAGCAGGCCATGAAAATTCTTCAAGTTTCTAAACGGCATGTAAATAAGCTTTAAAGAACACAACTTTTTCCTAATTTAACCTAAGCTGTATCTCCAACAGGTACTGAGATTCCCATGCTTAGGATCCTTATCTTGGACACACTGTATAGGTGTTGCGGAAAAAAATAAGTATTTATTATTACCTTTGTGTTTTGTTGATTTGATTTCATTCGATTCGATTCTTTTGTATGTTGAATTTTGATAAAAAGTCGGTTGATTGTCAAATAAAAAACTATAACTTGAGAAGTTGTCAGTCACTACAAAAATACAATTTTATATAGAATATTAGATCCATATAGTAAAATACAACTTCTATGAGCATTTTTTCAAACATTATTCATGAAGGTATTGAAAAATGAAAGCACCCTCTTATGGTCCTTTTTTTAGCAGAACAAAAAATTCTACAGATTTTCAATTCAACGATTCGTCTTCGAGAAACCATCACCAATTTTAACTTTTCATTTGAAACGGAAAAAAGGTCCTCTGAAAAAAGTTAGCCTTTTTGGCGACAATTTCACTTATTTATCACTATAATCGCTCAATGAGTGAATTTTCCTAATATGACGTATTGATGAGTAGTGTACCTAAGCGGAATTTGGGACGTATTCCCTAGGGGACGTCATTACGTTAGTGAGTGAAAAAGTGCAATGTAATCGATGCATAGATAGAATGAGGATATAATGAGTAACGGAGAGATTCAGTTGAAAGATAACGACGTGGTTGAATTATAAAAATAATGAATTATAAAAATAATGATTCAATATAAATAAGGAAAGAAAAATCGATTTGAAGAAAAAAACATGGCGGCGGCCATTGAGTGGAGTACACAGGATGTGTGTAGCATTAAAGAAAAAAACATGGATGTTAAAGTGAAAGAAAAAAACATAACTGCTATCGAGGTATACAGGGTGAGTGCACCGCTGAAAAAAAACACGGCTGCTAACG